AATAAATATTTTATACATATATATATTTTATGTTTTTACTTTTATTTGCATCTTATTTTTTCATTAATTTCTTTTTTTACGCGTGTGATATTTAAATAATGATATTTATATGTAAAAACGTATATGCAAAATGATATCATAATATATCCCAATAAATCCGCCTCAATTTTATCATCGTATAAACCCAACGATATCATTTACAAATGAAAAAATATATTAATAGATAAATTCTTGTATAAATTTTCTTTTTAAAAATCTACGATATTTTTCATCATTAATCCAATTAACATTTCTTACGCGTAACTATTACCTGTGATAAATCATCACCGATATTCGATCGATCATTTATTTTCTTTTTTGAAAATGGCGCCATTTTTAGGACGGTAAAATTTTCGAATATTCAAATATTCAAATATTCTGAACATGTACATACGCATAGAATATTCAATAATTCTAATCCATTGCTTATATTATATTATATATAGGTATATAAGTTTAAGAAAACGTATTATTAAATTATTATTTAAATACTATTCGGGGGGGGGAATACAATCGTTTTAATAAAGAAAAAATAATAAATAGGAAGAAAAATAGATCGTTCAAATCACAGACTGTCTTCGCTACAATTAGTTATAAATTAATACTGTGTGCATATACTATTTATCTACTTCCTGTTATTTTTATTAATAGGAGGATTAGTATGATTTGAGATTTGTTTTTCATTCTTCAAATAGTTAGTAGATAAATTAATAAATCAATGTAAATTTGGTGCATTAATTGGGATGAATAAATTAGGCATTAGGTCCAGGTAAAGAAAGGTCAAGAATTATAGTTTAGTATTTTTGTGTTTCATAGACTAGAATTATCCCTCCTTTCTCTCTCTCTCTCTCTTTATCTCTCTTTCTCTATCATTCATTTCCTCTCTCTTACAAGCCTTCTCTTTCTCTTTCTCTCTTAATAGACAATATATAGCCGGCATTTTGCAAGAGTGGCATGACTTTCGTTTATCTGATAACCGTATCTCCGTAGAGACAGGAAGCATTCGCGAAAATCGTCTACGTTTTATTTTCTTTCTCTTCTCTTTCTTTCTCTTTCTCATTTACTTTTCTATATAAATGCATATATATATATATGTATGTATGAATCATTTTGATGTATCACTCATCATCCGGCATACATTAGACATATTTTTCTATTTAAATTTAATAAAGATCTAAAGTTATATATTATTAATAATAATATAAATAAATAGAAATAACGCGTTAAAAAAAAATATTATTAATACTTTTATCATGACTTAGGGAACGCTATATTTTTCAATATTTACAATATTATCAATGTTCATTTTAAAAAGTGACAATAATATAAAAAAATATCTTCCTTCATACGCAAGTGAGATAGTGCATCAAGAACTCAATGGTATAGTGTATGCGTCTTTACTAGAATATATAATTTAGTGTCTAATTTGTGTTATTTGCCTGCCTTGGATTTCTTAGGATTTAGTTTTGATAATAGGTTTAATCTGTACAGTGATTAATTGTAATCATTCATTTAGTGTTTTTCCAATAATTGATTTGTTCATTTAATGATAAATTAATTAACGAGTGATTTAAAATGACTTGAAATATTAATAATGAACAGTGACCGTTTAAGGTATCTACGTGTATTTAGGTTATGTTAACAGTAAGATTGCAATAAGTAGTCTTGCTAATGTAGGTTCAAAAATATATTTAGGAGGAAGTTTATAACATGACAGAAACTGAAGTCGAAGGAAGTACCTGGTGTTACTGGGTTCTCTCTGTTGGAACGCTATTTACATTTCTTGGGCTTGTTGTAGCTTGCATTTGCAGTTGTCGAAGAAATCAAACTAAGTAAGTCTAAATGAATCGTATAGATATCGATGAGAAACATTTATTGTATTATATTATTTTGACATATTACTCATTGATATTAATTTGAATTAAATAATTAATAAATAACATGTATCTATGTAGGAATGATTTACCTGGGTTATGTGGGATGGTAACGATTAATCATTCCGATAATGATAATTTCAATACGTTACCATCTATAGAAGTTAGTCAAGTCCCACCATTACAGGATACGATAGATAATGGCAAAAGGTTTTTTCATTATTTTTATATGAAAAAAAATATTGTGTATGTATATATATTATGCATCGTTGTTATCTTTTTATTATATTTGTAGAACAAGCGGAGCTAATAGAAGCTTACCAGATATACCAAAAGATAAAAATAGAGGAGAAGTTAATACAGAATCTATACCTCAAGATATTTATGAAACTAGCGAAGTAAATTCTGAACTGTATGCTACAGTACAGGATACAGGTATATAAAAAATTATGCAAGAATTCTTTTTAAATATAAATCTACTTTATTTTATGATGATATATTTATTGAAAACTATTTTTTGATGCTCCAAGAAGAGCAACAGTCTGAACGAGAAACACAAGGTCTTTCTCAACAAGTTTCAATAGTTCAAGATAACTCAACATTTCAACTTTCAAGATTCACACCATCTACATCCAAAAATGGTAATATAAAAATATAATAATACCAATATGAACTAATTTTTCTCTTCAATTATCTATTTTAAATGGAAATCTTATATCTACTCTAGATGAACATCCATATGCTCAACTTCAAAGTATACCAAAATCTGAAATTGATCAATCGCATAGGTAATATATATATTGAAGTTAATTTTATTAATTACCTCTAATATGAAATTATATAGTAGAATTTTTATTTATACTGTAAATGTTCTAGGAAAAACAGTACTCAAGCGATTATTGTTGATAAACCATCAACATCATCAAATCATGCAAATGGAAATCCAGTAGCACCTCCTAGAACTCGAAAATCGTCGTCTTTTAATTCACTCCTGAGCGCTGAGAATCCTAATGATATACAAGCTGCAAATGCTATTTCTGGAGGTGTGCAAGCTAATCAAGATTTACCTTATATGACACCACCTCTTGCCATGTTACATCTTCATCCACCACAACCACCACAACCTAGTACATCACAACATTTTAGCGGTGATTCTCAGGATTCTAGTAAGTTTAATAAATATTAAGCTTTGATAAGAAATTTATAATACACAGTATAACACAGTAAATTACTTTTTTGAATTTTATTTATGTAGAAGGATATACTAGTATAAGTGTGCGAGAACCCTTAGCTAATATATTAGCACAAACGAAAGCATCTTATCAACAACACCAACCAACACGTTTGCCCATTGATCCTCATTACGCAACTGTATCTGATGATTCAGGTACTTATAAAATTCATTTGTTACACATTCACTCTTCATTAATTAAAATTAAAAGAACATAATTCTTATCTCATTTATATGTTATATTATTATTATTATATTGTAATAGATGAAATGTATGCTGCTATTGACGAACAAGAAAAAATTTACACTAGTGGCAGTGAAACATATGCTCAAATCCAGCCAACAATATTGGAAACAAGTAGAATTATACATAGCGATCTAAATCCATTTATTCAACCATCATCATCACGTACAGAGGAGACACATACTGCTCCACAACCACCAAGCGTTGATAGTTTACGTCATGTTGCTCATGCTCATTCGAGACAGGGTCAGTTATTAATATCATTATTTTTCTCTTGATGATTTTTCATTCAATATTGTAATCTTATTAAACTAAAAGAGATATTAATTATATCTTTATATATATATATATATTTATTTTTTTTCTTTAGCATCATCATCAAGTGCCAATAGTTCTATCATAAACCCAGGTTCTCCAAAGCCAGAGAAACGTCAAGCAAATTCACCATTACCTCCTCCACCAGAAGCAATTTCAGATGCATATGCTGCTGTTGATAAAAGAGCGAAAAATGATGAACGCATAAGACCTAATTTAGCAACTGGAAAATCTCTAGAGGATATGTATGCTAAAGTCATGAAAAAGAAAAGAGATGCAGAAGAGCAAAGTGACGTTCCTGGATCTTCTAATATTTTACATTCAGAAATAATACCTTCAAATAGAAAACTTAGTCTCATAGAAATTAGCAGAGCTTCGTGGTCTAGTCATGATTCAGTAGAAATACAGAAAGAAGAACACGACACTGTTCATTACACAATACCAGCCAATACTGTTACTAATATTCACCCTGAAATAGAAAATAATTGTTTAAAGTTATCTCGAATTCCTGATGGAGATACAAATTTATTAAATCAAGAAATTAATTATGGTTATGAATCTGTGAATACGAAAAGGAATTTAGTTGCACGAAGTTTTCCTGCTTGTGATTCTAATTATAAAATACCACATCTTCAATCTTTAAGAAATAACGATTATCAAAGTACATCAACATCAGTTCGCGATGGTTCTGATATATTATTGACATATCCTACATCTTTTAAGCACAGACAAATTAGTAATGCAAGTAGTGAAGATCCAGGGTACGAAAAAGTTAGATTACGAAGAAGAGTTGATTTAGATCAGGATACAGATTCCGAGCCAAACTATGAGAGTATGCCTCATGATTCAGGAGAACCAAATTATGCATCAGTATGCCGTCCTGGTGATAGTGATACAGATCCGAATTATGAATCTGTAAGTCATGGGGATCCAAATTATGAAAGTGTAAGATACATGAGTGTTACTGCTTCGGAAGAACCACCATACGAACAAGTAAGTAATTATAAATCTGAAACAAATATTGACGGATATGAAAAGATAAAAGATAATAATAGTATATTTAACTCAGACTACGAAAAGATAAATCCAAGCAATGCCTTGGAACAATGCAGTAATGGAGATACAGACGATGAACAATATGTTCAGGTATAGTGTACCTTTTTTTCTATATATATACATATTTATATACATATATATATATATATATATATATATGCAAAGTAAGGAAAGTCAAGTATATATACATATGTATATACATTTGATAATGTTAATTAATATATTTCAATTTT